AAAAAAAAAAAAAAAAAAAAAAAAAAAAAAAAAAAAAATTATAATTCTGGAAGTATGAAAAAGTATGGATGTGTATCACCGCAAAAAACCCACGTGGCGTACACACCCGCGCCCGAGAATACTCCAGAACAAAACCGTGTACGGAGGAGGACCTACCATTTACTCTTTTCTTCCATGTGGGATGGATACCTACTACCTACCCACCAGCAAGTGGATGAAATGAAAAAAAAAAAGAGAGGTTTATTCTCCCGTTGGTTCCAAATCTTGAAATCCGAAACATACAAAAATACAACAAATCATCTGAATCAGCGAAATAAATACACTGTAATGTAACCCCCACCTTTCTTTTTTTTCTCTGTCCTCAACCCGCCGCCAAGACTTTACTTACTCCACCGCGCTGGAACCGCGTGAACTCTCTGACCGCTTTTCTCTTTTCTCTCTTTGGTTTTTGTGTTTCCGGGTTGTTTCGGTATTGAGAACTTTCTATGTATGGATCAGGGTTGAGGGAGGGGTTGTACCTTGGTTCGGGTGATTTCAGGATGGAGAACTAGGTAATGGTGTAGAGGTTTCAGCCGAGGTATGGGTATGAATGTTCGGGAATGGCGTATGATTCACATTCTGGAACTTTTTCCTTGTTCGTTCGTGTAGATGGGGTTTGGTGGCTGATAGGGAATGGATTTGGATTTGGTTGTATGTGTTTTGTTACTTGTGTTATGTTTCGTTATATTGAGTAAGTAATAGAGAGAGAGAGAGAAGGAGAGGGCTTGTTTGTTATGTAATTGTAGATCCATAGACCGGTTAGGATAGTAGTAGACCGGATATCTGGTTCTCCGGTCAACTAAATAATCGAAGTAACAGTATGTAGTTAAGTAGCTTAGTGATGGGGCGAGAATAAAGTAGCAAGTCATTTGTCTATTAACATACTGTATATAGTAGTGATAGCTGCACTGCTGCTATGGAGTATCTAACTACAACCTATATTAAAGATAGCTATCGCTCCACTAGTCTGCAGGTCACTCTATTAGGTAGGAGGGTAGGTGCTTTGCAGACTTTACGTACTAGCTACGGTTAGATAGATCCATATTCACTCACTAACTATACTCCGTAGCTAGTTAGTAGCTGCTACCTATTCTGCATTAGAATGGATGAAGATGGATCAAAAAGAAAGCGGACTAAGCACAAGCCTGCTGATTTAGGCTGAATAGGAATAGATTTAGTGGCGAATCAGCTGATATGGAAATGATGGAGGCGTGGCTCGTATTTGTCTGAGTATTGTGTGGCTGTTGATAACTTGATAGATAGATAGAAGTCTGGAGCTAGGCAGGTAGGTTGATCGTCCAAATGCCGTGTATTGATTTCGGCTATTATCGGGGTATTGCCTGTATAGATCCTAGCGTAGTTACTTCCATCCAAGACTTCCAAGTATACTTGGATGAATATCTTGTGCCAAGAGAGATATACGAATACCGACTGGTATGTTTCAGCTGTCATGTCAATATCGCGCCAAGGGTTTGTGGCAGATTGCTGAAGAAATGCCAGTAGGAAATAGAATTTAAAATCCGACCGGGTTAGGCAGGTTGCCTGTTTTGTTTGCTTGGCTGGGCCGATTGGAAAATAACCCATCTACAGTAGATACATGGCAAGGTTAGAGACGGATATAATGAATGACCCAAAGTTAATTTCGAATAGCACGGGCGATGATTTATTCACCAACCACCCCTTAGATCATACTGAAATTATGATAGACACATACCCTGAACCTAGACAGGTCCATAACGACGCCATGCAAAAAGGTCAAAAGTATAATCTGAACAGGATAAGAAAAAGAAAGTTGATATGTGGCTGAATGAGGCGCACCGATAGATGAGGTTCTAGCCCTTAGGATTGTCTGACTCGGTCGCAAGCCACATGCCAAATGCGACTGACTCTTCGGGGTTGTTTCGCCTCACTAATGTTGGTTGATTATAGCGAAAGGACGCATGGACGGGAAGCCAAGGATGGATGGCGTGGTAGATAGTACGATTGGCGCCGTGCAGGAGGCTACAACATCGGCAAATATAGGTGTGCTAAGTTGGTACTTTTCTTTGTAGGCAGGAGGAATGTCACCAAGAATATCGCCAGTAGAGTAAGTAAAGGACCCTCCCAGCAGTAGCCTAGACGCAGCCTTGTCTTGCGTTCCGACGGGATGATCCCTGACCGCCACGCGAGGAGTAACGCGGCTGACAGGGATCATCCATCTGCGTGAACTGGATAGTGAGTTTCGCATGTCGCGGCTAGTAGCGCAGTTGCTAAGGGCTGCTGTTATTGTTGGGGGCATGTGGATTGGTTCGGTTTGTCTCCTGGGTGATAGAGAGAGAGGCTCCAGAAGACTCCGTACATACTGTCATGCAGCAGGATTTGAAGCTATCCATCTACTGATATGTATGGAGGTTTCCCGATTTGGCGACCCGGCCCCCTCTGTTCTATTTCCAAGGCTTGCTGTTACTATTGAAAGGCTGACGCGGATCCTGTCATGACCCTGTAGTAGGTATTTAGTGTTGCCTAGATACCTATCTTTAATTCACATAAAGCCGAACGACCAAAGCAATACTCCGTACATGCTCTCTTGTCTTGGGCACGGCACAAGTGTCTGACCGCTGCTATCTAAACTTCATTACTGATTACGTGACAGCATGACAGCGACAGACAGAGTTTCAGTTTGTTGTCTGTGACCGAGATTCTTTACCGCCAGTCCGGTCACGGCTCCAGAGCGGGCGCAAAGAAGAAAAAAGAAAGGAAAAAAGGTGTGGATAGCTCCGAAACGGGGGAATTGCGCCATTGCAGCCCCTCCTTCTCATGGCTCACCGCTTCGTGTTGCCCCAATTGCTCTGGTGGAGACACACTTGCTACTGCTGCTGTTGCTGCTGATAGCTTGATAGGCAAAAAAAGCCACCAGAACAATTCCAAGAGTGGATACTAGAATATACACAGAGATAGATTGCCTTGTCTACTGCCCGGGGGGGGATCTGATCGTAAATCCTTCATCAGAACGAAGTAGGGGTTACGTAGCCGCCATGGGAGGTCACTTATGATTGGTACGGTCGACTATCTGACCGCTAGGCTGATGGCCCTGGGTTGAGGTTTGGTGCTACTAACGTTGGGCCCGGAAGATTTCGTGAGCATTCCCAGATGATGATTGATTGTCATTCCTTTCGAGTTACGCTGCTGTAGCTAGCCGGCTGGGGCGCACGTCAGACGCAATCCTGCTGCGATCAGACCTTCGACGTCCGGGGGTTTAGGATGAGCCTCAGGATTAGAAAAGGATCAGGAGGATCGAACTGTGTGTTGGCAGGATCGTCTCTTCCTGAGCCCCTTGTCCTTCATTTCCTTTGTTTCTTTTAGCTCGATGGGGGGCCCTTTTAACTTTGTGGCGGATTGCCAATGGTCGTGACAAGCGCACTGACAGCCTGCTCTGGGTATATGATGAGGGCTTACTACTGTATAGCCGTATTCAGACGCTGCCCCCATTTTGGACTGGGACTTGTGGTAGTGGTGGTGGTCAGTGTAGCCGCAGTGTACATTGGTAATCCTGGTCTAAAATTCCCTAGTGGCCCCTTTAGGGAGAATCAGGAATTAGACCGCACTTGTGAACCTTGTTGGCGTCCCAAGTCCCAACATTGAGAGAGATCTGGAGATGGGCTGGAGAAAGTTGAACTAGTAGTAGGTTGGAGGATAGGCCCCAGCAGATCCTCGATGTATGTCATAGCGGTACTACTTTTACGAAGTCACCTACTACCTATTTCAGACATATTCTCAGGGTTTATGACGTGATGCGACAGTACTAGTAGGTCACGGAGAATTGCTGTGAGCAATAGCTTGTCAGTTAGCCATGCGATTGACACCCTGGTTGATGCCAAAGAAATGAAATACCACCAAGAGTGCCATGATTTGGCGCAAGACGGGACGGTCAGGTCCAAGAAATGAGGATGATTGGGCTTGGACCCCGAGAAAGAGGATACATAGTTTCCCTCTGGAATGTGAGTTGCGAGACACACCGGCGGGCGAGGCCAAAACGGCCGACAGCCAAGCCGCCCGAGCAACCCAAACCAGCCGCCAGCTTTTCTCCACGTGTGTCCACGTGGAACCGCATGGGTCTCGGTTAGGACAGAAGGCAGGAAAGAATGCACCTGGAAGAGTCGTGGAAGAGCGGGAGACGCATCCAAGAAGTCA